ACTCAGAGTAATATTTCTTCGAGTTTCCTCCACTCGAAGAGAGAAAGTCGAGTATGGGAAATAGAAGCATAATATTTTAAGGAATGACAACTAAATAAACGACAACTGCATTTCGAGCAGCGCATAAAAATCTCTGAGAGCAACAAAATCAAGAAGAAAAGATGTTAAAGAAGAAGCAGAAGCAGAGAAAACAATTGCATAAACATATCCTTTTTTGTTCGTGAATCGCATTCAGCTGCGTAAATATTTATGAGCGAACATAAAAATGTTTACGACCTTCGCAATTTAATAGCCCAAAGCAGGTCCCCGGACTTCGATTCCGACTGGCGCTACACGGCGTAGATAGACGGAAACAGAGACAGAGAGAGAGTGTGAGAGGGAGAGGCAATACCACTGTTGTCGTCTCTTGTGTTGTTGATAAAGAGCACATAAATTATGGTCTATACATCATGAATATCTATCGATGCCAGGTATCGCCCGAGTTTGAGCTCGAGTCGAAGCCGTAGACGGAGACCGTCGAGGCCGTTTACGGCCCGCAGAGACGAAGTCGCATGTTTATTGATTTGCTTTCGACGGCGTTGCTAATTTCTGCCACAATGTGTTGTTGCGCAGCGGCAACAACTGCCAAATGCGGTCAATCAAGGACTGACTGCAAGGCGGGCCAACAGCCGGGCTGACACATGGGCGGGCAGGGACAGGCCGACGGACAGACAGTCAGTCAGGCAGCCAGGCATTGTCCTTGATTTATGGTGCTCATTAATTTCGCTGCCACCAGAGCTGACACTTCTGCGTATGTCACTCCCCTCTCAGAGGGAGAGAGATACAGAGAGAGAGACGCTTTAACAAATAATTTTATTGACGGTCTGTGTTTGGTTTTTAATTGTCCTTCAAGTTGTTCAGCTGCCTCAGCGCAGCACGTGATAATTGCTCATTTTATGACGCATTTATCAAAGTATCTCGAGCTATGCCTACAGCTCTCCCCTCGTCTCGTACCCTCCTCTAGCTGACTCGTCCCGGCTGGCCTTGTCACGCGTCATTTATTCGCCTGCTTGGCCGTGACAGTTGTTGATTGCGATTTTCCGGTGCGCTTTGTCACTTTTCGGCTCTATCAAATTTGCTCAGGAAATAGTTGCTTAGCAAGTATGTCCTGCGGCAGGCAGTGCCTTGTTTTCCAGCATTGCTGCAAGTTGTCATTCTAAGGACATGTTTGTCCTTGCTGAAATTGTTCTCTATTGATAAAAGAGAAGTGCCATAAATGGGTCGAGATTTTACTGTACTTTAACCATCCGATGCAGATCCTTAATATATGGTTTTTTACAATGTTGATTGTTCTCTCAATCATGGATCCAGAGCGCTCTTGTGCAATGGGTAAACTTATAGAACTCTAAGCTCTTTACCCTTGGGCAAGTTAATAATGGAATTGAAAAACGATTCATTGGATTTATTTTTATATTCATTAAAAGTGATGAAGTCGTCTCAGTCTGAACTGTTTATATGAAATCAAATAAAATAAAGTAAGCTCTTCCTACATTCAATATCCATTTTATTCGATTATATTCACAACCCTAATAGCTATCTATCCATATTCGACGGTACCATTTGGGAACCTCATATCTTTTAAAAGAAAAGTTACATACTGGAAGTGTCAGTCCAAGCACTCTATGTATAGTATAAACTAGATAAAAAAAAAGAAGATATCGCTAATAATACCTTAGAAATACATGTAAACGTTTATAGGACTAACTCCTTTCCAAACAAAGTGTTACACGAAAAAGAGAGCCCAGAGATGAAAGCACCGAAGCAGCGAGCAAGACGGGCGAGGCGGTAATTGTGGCTCTGTTGAAACGACAGGCTGACAGCAGAATTCACACTTCATTTAAGACAACTCACAGCTCTCAGCTCTCGCACGGTTCGCATCCCGATCCCAGACGCATTGCCGATCCCAGTTCACGGCCCCGCCGAGTGCTAATGTAGCGCATAATAATTTTGTACTAAATTAAATAGTGCGTGGGTCGGTCCGTCCGGTGGCTCTGTCTGTCTGCGTCTCAGTCTCTCAACGTGTTCGTCGGCGAATCGCTGAATCGCTTCTCATGCACGCCGCGACGCCGACAGCGACTCAGCCACTTGAAACGTGAAAGGATATAATTTAGTTTTTATTGCACGTTGTTAAGGTTTTTGCTGTTCCTGTGGCTGTTGTTGTCCGAATAGTTGGACTGACCATGGCCAAGTACACAGCCGAGTGAGGACTCATCAGTTATGCATGGCATGTTTGTTTTTTAAAGGGTCCTTTACGACTCTACTCCACTCTACTCTACTCCACTCTACTCTCGGCTCGCAGCTCTGCCGTTCGGTGCTCATTCGCTTTTTGTGTTAATTTATTGATGTGCCGCTTAGCGTCACGTGTCCGAACAACGTCTCCTAGGACAAGGAGGCTCGCGAGGCACCATTCCAGCCGAGCCGGGCTCTCTTTGATGTTTCATAAATCACAGCTGTTTCCATTTTATATATACATATGACATTCATGGCTGATGTTATTTTTTACTACTAACTAAACACAAGTCGACTGTTTAGCAGCTGTGTCTTACTTTAGCTGATGTTTACTGTACTCAGCTATGCATAGGTATTTTATTTTAATTTTGCAGAGTCTACGTCAGCAAATATTACAAAAAGCAATTTATCTGATATAATAAAAAATAATTTTAAAAAAATATATATATATATTTTTAATTATATGATAAATAGATTTATAATAAAATAAATAAATTAAAATATATATAACTAACTAAATTAAATAACAAAAATATTTAATTAATAATACAAAATAATGTATAAACATATATGTACATATATAAAAAAAGGTTAATATAAATAAATAAAATAAAATAAATATGATAGATGATTTGACTAATTAGCAGAAATAAATTTACGAAATCTAATTTCGAACAATTTTTATTTAAATAAATAATAAGAAAATATTGTTTTTATTTATGTGATTATAAATAAATATATGTTTTTTTTTTCTGAATTTTTTACCGCAAAAAAAAATTGTAAGCAAAACTAATGTGGATTTAAATGTCAGACTCAATTGATATATTAATTGATTCCAACTGTTATATGTGTGCTAGTGCTAAGGGCAACAATGCATGCAGGTCCTTTAGAATTGTCGTTCAGTGCGGAGGAATTTTCGAAAAACTAATTGAGTGGGTCGGCGATTTATTATCAGGTCAACACTTGAGCATCCCGTGCCTGGGGCTGGGAACCTTGTTTACGCTGACTGACTACCTAGAACTCAATTTAGTTTTCTGCCACAGCAACAACAACTAAACCATTAACGATGGGGCTGGGGCAACACTTGAGGACACTTGAATGCAGCTCCAATTATGGAAAAACTGCCGGCAGCTCTGCCCAGTTCAGCTCAGCTCAGCTCAGCTCGGCGATTCATAATGAAAACATTTAACCTGTCGTCAGCAACATCAGCACGAGAATCATTTCAGCAGCAGCTCCCCCCACGTCCCTTGCCTAGATTCGGGGCGGCGGCACTCATAATCAACTTTAAATGTCAGGCAGCGTCGAGAGCAATTTCGTGGTGCCTTCTTCTCGTTTTCAATTATGTGGCAGCGCTATGATCCTTCGAGGAAGTGGTTGGAGAGTCGACAACCAGCCAGCAGCCAACCACTTGAGCAAAACAATTCAACAAAAACTTGAATTGACAGCAACAGCCAGAGCTGCGGCTCTGAGACGAGCCGTCCAAGCCGAGCCAAGTTGAGTCGAGCCAAGTTGAGTCGAGTCGAGTTGAGTGTATAATACACCTTTTCTTTTACGATGCGGTCTTGGACCTGGACGGCGACGGCGACGTCGGCTGAGAGTGCGGCTCCTTGTTGTCATTAATGAGACGTCTTCTTCAGCCCGCGCAGTCATTTCCACTTCAAGTTGTCAGGCCGAGCACACAGCCCCTCGTCATATTTGGAAATTTGTGGCAGCTTGTGTTTTCGACATTTCGGGCATTATGTCGCGCCTACTTTTCACTCTCGGACTAAACGGAGGACGTCGCGTCTCGTCGTGTCGTCTCTTTGATCTCACGCTTCGCTTCTAATTTGATTATAAACGCACACCTCACACTCAATGACGCCGGGTCTTGCGCTCAACTCTCAACTCTCTCTGTACACTCCATCTAAGCGTCTTCATTTCTTCATTTTCAGCCTCAATGCTTGCCTGCCAGCACTTCCAGTCCACTCGGCTCTGCTGAATCTCTTTCCCCTCCACGGCCCTGATGACTACGCGCCGCGGCACACTCAATGACGCGTTGAAATTGCCATAAAAAAGGACATGAAGACATAGACAGACTGAGGAGCCTGGGAGAGGGAAATCTTGGGCCAAGGGTTACGTGCTGACAGCATTTTAAATGAAATGAAAACGATGCTTTCACTCCCGGTGCAGGAAGCGGGGGAGACATTTTGCTAAACTAAGCAGAAGTAATGTCGCTGAACTACACGAGCAGCAGGTTTCTAAGGGCACCGTCTTCTCGACCGGCTGCGTTCGTGAGGTGAGGCTAATGCGATAACTTGCTTAGGGGACTATTGATTTTAACGACTGTCTCGAGACGAGACTTTGCATGAGAGCATGTAGTTTTCAAGAAGATAATAGCTATATATATATGAGGACAAGTAGTAACGGTTTTCTCTCTCTACTCGACTCGGTAATACTCTGGGAATACTCGTAGAATATAGAACTATGTATAGCTAGTTTTCTGATCTAACCTTCTCTCTCACTCTCAATTCACTGAGTGCGCATATGGAACCAAGTCATCTAACCTTTCCGCCATTCACTCATTCTCACACTAGCTAATTAGCAATGTGAGCTTGTGTAACAAATGTCGGAAAACGTAAACCCCGTCTGTCACAAAATTTATGTGTTGGCATAGAGAAAAGAAAAAAGGGTTCAACTTGGGAGAGCAGCGCAATCAGCGTGAGCAACTTATTAATGTCTCGAATTACGTACAAATTTCGGAAATTCGGTTATTTTGTGGGTAATCAGTCAATTTCAAACAAACAACAAACCCACAGAGAAAGGGTCACACTTCCTGTTATAGGCAAGCTGCATGTTGCCCATGGCTACAACATGTCGGAAGTTTTTCTAGTGCTCGGTTACCCTCGACAACAAGAAAACCCAAAAATAAAACAAAAAATTTAGTCACCAGATATTCTTGCATTATGTTTCCAAAACTTAAGCTATGGGGCGAACCACTGGGGTGAAATAATGTTGTCATAAATCACATTTCCAAATTAAAGTAGACAGGTTTTCTTGGGCTGAAATGATAATGCGAATATAAGTGGTAATATCTCTATATACGAATCTTGGGTGAGTATATAAAAATAGTTTAGATATACTCGAAAAATATAAATAGTTTTTTTTTAAATAAATTAGAAAATAATTTTGTAAAATAAAAAATAAATAATAATAATAAAATATATATAAATTATAAATGAGTTTTCAATAATACCTTCTGTTGGACCAACAAAAGAGTCTTGCACTTTTGCTTATTAGGGACTGAGTGGAAATTTATTTTCTAATCGTTCCCAGAATTTTGAGCCTACTTAATACAAATAAAAAATGAAGTAATTTATATTTAGATATTTAGTAATTATATTACTTTAAATATCATATAAAAGATAACAATATTACAATTGTTAAACCCTTTCTTCTTTTTATCCATTATATAGCAGGAAAATGGCCCATAAAATTTCAAACTAATTTAAAGATTCTCCCCGATTTGTTGTCCGCACATCTGAACAGCCGTTTCAAAAGTATGGCTCTAGATGGACCAGTCTGGAGTGGAAATAAAAATAGATAAGCTGTCTGCATTCTGCTTAGCTTCTGAGCCATAAATTTGCTTTTAACCAGTTAGGAAAAATATCATAAAATACAAAATGAAGTACGCTCGACATGTCTCGGACGCTGTGAAATTTATGTGACAATTTTGCGGAGAATAAATGGCCGGACACAGAGAATCAGCAGCAGCACCAAGAAGGATGTTGTTTTTCTGTGAGTCTCCAAAGGTTGTCTTCCTTCCTTCCACCCCTCGTTTCGTTCTATATTCTTTCTCTTTTTTTTTAGTAGCTAAAAATTAGTTGGGTTAAAAGGCACGCACACGGTCCGAAAAGGAGTCGTCCAGGAGCAGGTCCTGCTGGCAGCCACTCCGCAATGCCCACAAAGTGGGTGCCCACTAAAACTAACGAACTAACCTGAAACTGAACTGGGGAGTGGGCGGAGAGTGGGGAGAGCTTGTGGCTTGGGGCAACTTCAGCACTTGGTCGTTGTCGGTCATGTTGCATAAATCTCATTTGGGCTTTATTTACTCTCAAAATGTTCCTCGCTCAGATTGCTATTGTTTTTGTTCGTGCCCGCCCAGAGCAGGGGGCGTGCTGGTCGGGGGCTGCCCTGGCAAATAAATTCATTTAGTGGCATTTAGTGCCCCCGTTCACCTTATTGTTCGGGGTGCTCCGGCCAGGACTCGTCGTCGTTTGCTCTGTGCGCTGTGTGCATTTTATGGCAGTTTCTGCGCTTTTGTGGCCAAACATGAAGTGAAAATTACACACACACACACACACACGCGCATACACACACACAAATGTGGAATATGTGGCGCAATTGTTTTGCCTGGATAGTGGGAGCTGGCAGACATGTATGCGTATGTGTGTGTGTGTGTGTGTGTGTGTGTGTGTGTGTGTGTGTGTGGGATATATGTGGCGGGATTTGGCTTTAGTCGGCAGTTAATTTTCATATTTTCTAGCCACACTCATACCGCACCGCCCGCCCGCCCGCTCGCCCGCCCGCTCGCCCGCCCTACTGCCCGCTCCGTGTGTTTGTGGACATTTTGTCGTAAATAAATATAACAATTTATTTAGATTGCAATGACAGGCGGATGCTATTAAAAGCGCAATTTATGTGTCCTTCTGGGGGAGTGATGTCCTATAGCGAGTGCTGCCCGGCTGAGCTTTATGATGTCGCCGACCGCCACCAGATGCATTGCTCCCGGCCAGCAACTTAAATCAGGCCACTGCCAATGAACGAGCGTCCATAAAATATTTCCATGTGCAGCCAGCCAGCGCCCACCCGCAATGGAACACGAAGCAGAGCATCATCCGCAACTTTATGGAGTCGAAAATATTTACACACACAGATCAGGCCAATTGGATGAAATTTCAATAAATTCAAACATTTGCAAATCTCTTTCCCTCTCTTTCGCTCTTGTGTTCTCTCTGTCTTGCATTTGTAATTACATTGCCAATATGGATTTTACATCAATATTCATTTAAATTTCTGCTAAAGAAATTCTAACAAGCTAAAGCCAATGGATGAAGAGGAAAGTCGATTTTAATCGACTGCGAAATTCCCTGTATAAGGCTGGGGAAAAGTCTGAAAATGTGACTTTGCTGTGACTGAGACTTAAGCTGTGTTTTTGATTGTCCTAGGGATTATGATGGTTACTAATGACTGGGACAGTGACTGGTACAGTGACTGGTACAGTGACTGGTACAGTGACTGGTACAGTGA